CCTTCACTTAAAGGCGACTAGAGAAGGGGCACCCTTACCCCCCACAAAGAGAGCAGACTGTGAACAACTAACATTGTTTTCTTTATATAAGTAGGAAAGCACCGGAATCCGCCCTCTGCTTCTGAACCTGGAACTTCCGATCACTGTTGCCTTATTAGCTGCTCTAGGCACCACTATTTCTGGAGGGTATGTGTTGCAAACCTAAGTGAGAAGAAAGAAGCAATCCAGATATTACTATTTACCAATTGCAGATTCACATAAAATTCATTTTCAGCTTATTATCTAGCATTTTCCAACAATAGCAATAAATTGCCACGGTGGGTCAAAAGTAACCTGTATTTTTAAAAAATTTCAAGCAAATAAAAAGTATTTAGAAAAAAGCACAGGAATGGGTGCAAAATAGTAAGACAATGCGATGATGGCAATGTTAATTTTGCAACTGAACCTGAAAAACTGGACAGCACAGTACACAATACATTTTAAGGGGAAGTTTTTTTAATCTAGTAATTTTTATGAGTTCCTGATTTGTCACAGAAAGAGATCAAGAACAAGCATATCAAAAAAGGTTCCCACTAAACCGTATACAACTTGGAACGAGCTGCCTGAGGCAGCGTCGTCAGAATTATCCTTGTTTCTCAGACAAGTACAGTCTTTTCAGCACATGCTTCACAGAAAAGCTATTTTCAAGTCTGGCTTTACTTGAGGCTCAACAATTTTAAAACAAGCTAGAAACCCTGAGGAAATTACAAAGCACTGGCAATTGAGAATTACACACTATCCTACAAAGTAAAGCTTCAAAGTGATTAATGATTTTAGATGCCCACATTCAGATGCCCAAATGAGCTAATGGAAAAAAGCACCGCTCAGGTTACCTCCACTCAGGCATCCAAAGATGCAGTCATTTAAAATTACCACTCAGTTCTGGCAGCACTTGTTTCTTCAACCTAAAGTGTAACAGCAAAGAATACTGGGGGTAGGGGAGACTCAAGGCTTAATATGCTGACACTTTCCTCCGAGCTGTCGGCTTTGTCTTTCATACAGAAAGGTCTGCTCTGCTGGGGCACAGAAAGGGAAACAATATAAAGCAGGAGTTTGAACAAACTTGCTAAAAACGATCTCCTTTTAACATTGTTTAGCTCTAACCTGTGGTAAAGAGGAGAGAGAAGGAAACAACAGCAACAGCTACTTAGGACCGAAATGCCTGAGAGCCCTTATTTAGCATAAGATCTAATAAAAAAGAGGCAAGCCATTTCTGGTTGTTGTTTTTCCTTCCCTCCCCTTGCCCTCTCCCTTTCCACCTGCTTTGCTCCCCACCAAGCAAAATTGCTGCCATTTATTTCTCTTCTACATATCTGTCACCAACTTGGTGGGACAGGGCTTGGAAACACCTGAAGAAGCTAAAGGTACTTCAGTTTCTTGTAATTGATGGTTTGAAATTTCTCTAGAAAAATAAGTATCTGGTACTTTGCCAGAGGGATCAAGCAAATCAAGGCGACTCTGCAGCTCTGTTCTTTCACAGCACCGTTATCTGCAACTTCACATCAAGACGATGCTGCTTCGATTAAAGTGAGCTGAGCTCATTCCTCCCTAGAGGCATCACTTACGCAGCAGTAGAAGGATTTCTGTATGTCATTAATACCAAAGAAGCGATGTTGCACCAAACAGCTACTCCGGGCAAGAATTACCTCATAGTCTTTATTAGCATCCGTTATTTCCCAATAGTCATTTGGAATTCCCATACGCTGGTAATCTACTTTTAAATCAATCAGTTTCCATCCAATCTCCCGGTTATCTTTAGACATTTTAGGATTATAAGAGAAAGCATAAAGATCTTCAGGCTTCACTGGGAACAAGAAAGAAAAAAATTGACTCATTAGAGAGAGACATACAAAGAAATATGAAGAGGTCAGCACTTCCTCCTGAAGGCTGTTTCTTTGGATATGCACCCTGTGCAAGCCAGCGCGCCACAGGGGTATCAACTGACACAAGGACTGAAAAAAGAATATTATTCAGTCAAAAATGACTTAGAAATGTTTTACTATAAAAGTCACGTGCTATGCCACTGTACTGCATAATTGGCTATATTTTAATGACAGCTATTTTACTCAGGCTTCTGCCTTACGGATCAGGTGCCTGAAGTTTAAGTTTTCTTTTATCACTTTCCGCATTTTACTAACCTCCGCCAACTACGCAGATTGATTCTCAGTTCTTAAAGAATTGAGTAATACAATGAAGAGCATGGATATTTAAAACTTTTCAAGGATTACTCAAAAGCATTCCTATTCATATTGAGCTGAATGAGACACATATAGATGAGATGAATTACATGAAGCTTCTAAATTTGGGCCTTAATCCAATGTTCCTCATATTTGCAGGTTTTCATTCTGGGTCATACTGAATGCCAACGATTCATATTTAGGTCCTCAGGAATCGCCAATACTCAGCTCCCATAGATAGGGAGAGACAGTAAAACACTTCATTAGCATCAAAACTTTAAAATAGCAATTTTTCTGAACAAATTATTTCCTACTGAGTTCTTTGCAAGATGCACGCTAGACGAGACTGATTATCTTAAGAATTAATCCATAAATGAAAACATACATTAAAAGATACTTTTTCTGTGAAGAATTCACAAAACAGCTCTTGCAACCTGTAAGTTCATCTTTCAACAGCATGTCTGAGCCACTCAAAAAGCTTGATAGATGTCTTGAATATTACTGTCAGGCCAACAAAAGCTTCAGGCTGTGTCTGACAAATGATAATTTCTTCCTCCCTCCATCTCTACCTTCCCAATTTCCTTCCCTCTCTTCATAAAATGCAAATCCAATCAATAACTCATCCAGCTGATTCCCAAGGCAGCCAGCTCTCCAGAGACAGACTGAAACCTGCCAGAGTCTGATAAAGGAGCCAGGTTACCAGACAGGTAACCCATAACTGTCAATCGTACGCGTGCAAATCATAACTTAATTATATGCTCTGCCAAAAAACATGACGGAAGCATACATACAGAAGTTTTAAACCAACAAAACAGAACTGTTAAAACCCATAAACAGAACAAAATAAAGAGCTACAGCCTATTACATAAATAACCACAAATCAAAAGAAAGTGACTAGTGTAATCTCCTGCAAAGACAGCTCCCACACTCCAACATGCTTTATAAGTCTCTAATTTCCAAAATTGAAGGAACAGTGACAGCTTTTAAACATAACACCAGAAACGTGCCAGATACAGCATTAAAATTAAAACTCCAGAACTAAGAAAACTTGATAGCTCAGGACATAAGGGAAAAACAGGGAATAGACACAATTCCCAATTTCAATCAACAGTTCAAAGATGCACTCAGGGAAAATAACTTCTACTGAAACACTTTGACTCAAACCCTATGATGCCCAACATGAAACAGACTCGTGCTATCAATTCCCTTCCAACTAGACTACTGACAGAATTACAAAATGCAGTCACAAATGGCATCCTCACAATAAAGCAGGACTGCAAACACTAGCTCACTAACAGGGCACCCCGGAAAATAGAAGCAGATATAGACTGTAAGAAGCCCAGTGGAATGCTGTCCTGCAAGAACAAAGAGCCTGAAGACTCATCCACAACAGATTAAAAGCTGAGGCCAGAAAAGACCAAAGACTGTTCAGGATGTTTGCATATACTCTAAAGACTAGTTCCAAGTCAGGGCACCCAGGGTGAAGCACAGCATTTCACAACTGAAAGAGGACAGACAGGAAGCAGGAGCATAAGCTATTGAGAAACAATGAAGTATGGCAATGACTAAAGCTTTATTTGCAGGATTCCACAATTTTGGGAACGTCCGGCTCAGTTGGAAAGGGCAGAACTACACATGGCCGGCAGCTAAGTGTCACAGAAGCAGCCAACAACAGCCAGGTACGGAATGACATTCAGCACGCGTGCCATAAGAAATAAACCTGAGATGCCACACACGGCCTTCACCGGACGAGTCGTCGTTGCACAGGTCTGCCAAAGTTCCTTACGGGAGACCACTTCGCTTCCACTGCCGTGGAACGTTTGTGTTTTGTCTGCAACAAACAAGTGGCTTGGTACCACAGAGCAGCACTGCATTTACCGTGCTGAACCACACAAACAGGCCGCAGTGGCTGAAATAGATTATGATTTGAAATGCTCCCCTCCTGTACTGATACAGCAGAGTCAATACCTGACAAGCAGAGCTTTCTCCATGGCTCAAAGAAGCCTTCTAGCTTATCGCACTTCAACAATCTGCGAAACAGACTCCCTCCCAAATACCTGGTTGTGAAAGTTTAAGCAATGAGGTATACACTTCATGACAGTCACGTTCCTGCCCAATAACGAAGTGTGCCACATGGAAGTTCTTGCAGTGAATAAGGAGAGGGCACCCAGCTGTGGTCAGAGGTAATTTTTCTACAGCTGCAATATGGTGATGCAGAATCTGAAAAACAGGAAATAAACTAAATCTTTCAGAAACCACTGATAAGGCCATAAGCATTACAACCAGATAAGGAAGGGTCTGCAGTACTATCAGCTATTTATGCTTACTGCATCTAATTCAATACTAGCCGCAGAAAATATGTTTATTTGTGATATTTATCAAGTAAACATAATAAACATCCAGCCTGTGCACCCAGAGGCTAGGCAACTAACAGGAGGACTGTGAAAAAACACAGATGTATATAAGTTACTTTTAGGAGCCCATGCGCAACTGGGTCTTACAGGTTAGCCCATGCGCAACTGGGTCTTACAACTGGGTCTCCTTATAAGAGGAGCCAAACTCTCTTCACTTAGCCTTTCCTCCACCCCCACAGGAAATATATTCTGTCATTCCCATTTTACTTTACAACTAGGAACAAGGGCTAATTTCAGCTTGCTACGCTTCTAAAAGCTGTAAGCTCAGGAATGGTAGCTTAGTATATTGAGTTTGAGGTAGGAAAACAGACAAGTCTTTTCTGTTCCTGGAACTAACACTTACTCACTATGTGACCTCCATCAAGTCACTTTATGGCTGTGTTCATTTCCTTCTAAAAGAGCCTTTTCTGTAAAACATTTGATATCAAAATGCTATAAAAGACTACAACAACTTTAGAATTCTCCAAACTGTTCATTTTGGATATATCTCTCTCGTATTTTTACACTTGTATTTAAACAGACTCTAGGTACCACAACGTACCCATGTTTCTTTTCTGACTTCAGCAGAAGCATCTACATAGATTAGATGGGTCGCTGTCAGGTATAACGTCCCATTTGCTGCCTTCCTGTTTGTATAGCGATCTAGTAATTTCACGTTTTCAACCTGTAATATAAGAAAAGGGTGAAAATTAATTTAACTTTGATCAAGGAAACCCCTAAAGACCAGTCGAATCACAATCCTATCATTGCTAATACACAATTTGGAAAGAAAGTGAGAAAATAAGAAATAAGGTTTCCCCTGCAACACTTACTCAGCTTTATATTATAAATTCATATTACTTCTCCAGCTATTAAGGCCAAAAAGGTTAAACAGAGCCAAAGTTTAGCATCGGCGTGAATAACAGGAGTAGTGGATTTGTAGCTGAGATGATCAAAGTTTATTATTTGGCAAGGCTGCAGAAATAATAAGGCAATAAAGAACGGAGAAAGAAAAGACTGTACACGTTTAGTATGATCAAAGTAATGTTGTGAAAGAAACAACCCTCTAGTCTTGCTTCCAACTGTTCAGTTTTCAGTCATGGTACTAAAACAGCATTAACCTTTTGCAGACTATGTCTTTGAAACCGATAGAAAAAAAAGCATTGGTAGCTACTTGTTATAACACAGTTCTCAAGTGCATTTCATAAACCACACTAGGCTAATTGATAAAGACAGTTTAAAGAAGTATCAGACACAAAAATACTAATTTTTAAGCATTTTAAATTATTTGATTGTTTTTCTTCTGCCCTATTTGCTTCTTAATGAGTGCAGATTGAATTTTTCTTTCACAGCGAAGAAAAATAAAGTAAAAAAAAACTGATGGAGGGACAAAGAAAAACAGTTTAACAGCATACAGAAATTTACTTCTGCATTTGGATATATGTTTCCTTAGAGAGTCATTGGCCCAAGACAAATCCCAGAAAACATCAGTAAAGAAACTGGAGATCTTGGTCTAGATGCCTTTCTAATATATCATGTCTTTCAACACACGTAACAATTACGCCTAACACCGTCCTTTTCCAGGCCAGTAAAGACTAGCAGGTACAGAAAAGCACCTTACGCAACACCCCCATTATACTTATGGGATCAGTAAGGAACATCCCAAAATCAAATTCCTGGAGAGTAAAACAAAACAAAAATACAGCAACTGTCAACCTTACTGGCGTTGCAGTATCAGAGAATAAAAGGCTGGATGGACAGCTGCTTGAAGCAAATGTAATTTTTGGTTTTTTTTTTTTTTTTAAATCTGTCATGACTATAGACTACGTTCCCAGAATTTCTGTTTCTCTTTATTCCACTGAAAAATAAATTTTGATTCACGTCAATTATTCAGATTGAGCAGGTTTTGCACTTTGACAGAAAACAACTGAGTTTACAAGAACCACTCTCCCAAAACTTTTTCAGTAGTCTTATACAGTCAGTAATCTTATAAAATCTTATAGGATCAGTAAATACAGTCAGTAATCTTATAAAATCTTATAGGATCAGTAAATACAGTCAGTAATCTTATAAAATCTTCTAAGATCAGTAATCTTTTACAATTACTGTAATATTTCTTTCCGCAACAAGAGGCGAGAAGAAACAACAAAACTCTATACTAAGTAGTTTTAAGCTTTGCAAACTCGGTAGCGACCTGTCTGAAGAGCACAGGGGACACTCACTACTACATATTCCTTAAAGAAAAACAAGAATAGTTCATTTACTGAAATTAATCAAGGCGCGCACACACACAAAAACAAGGGCCTTGAAAACACACCAACCTGACCATAATTCTTCTCTAACTGAAGGACTGAAAAAGTTTTCATTTGTCTACAAAGTTTATAGAGAATGCTCTGCCCTCTCCAGCCTTAAAGAAAGAAAGAAAGAAATGACAAAACAACCACTTTTCATCGTTGTTTTCAACAGCTCAACTGCGGGGCCTGTTCTGAAGGCGGCTGCAGGTGTTTAACGCACAGGTGAGCTGCCCCGAGAGGCTGTTCCTGCATGCCGTTCCTCCCTCTCATCCCTGCAGGTGCAGTTTGGGGCAGTTTTGGTTCTGGAGCGATTAATACACGCTTCGGGGGTGGCGGGGGGAGGGGGATTAAACAC